GACTGGTAGTGGCCTGGGTGAATTACCTGAATTTTCACAGCAGCAAAATCTTAAGTGCATTTTTACCAGCTTAACATGCTCCTATATGCAAAGGGAAGAGTATGTTTTTGGAAAGGAGGTATCAGTTGAAATACTGTAACCAAGAAAACATCTCAATTTTCTTTGAAAATATGTCAACTGCACAGGCTGGCTTGTCTGGGATGGGTCTCCACACTGGTAACAGCTATGAAATCCAAATATAATGACCTATTTTTAATAGACCATACTATTTCCACAAGAATCTTAAAGAGAAGTGGAAAAAACACTAGCTAGTTGACCAAGAACAACTGCCCTTTATCCCACAAAAAAACAGTTACTATTGTTATCATCACACTAGGTAACATAATGAGCACCTTATGATCCACTTCCAGGTGAAGAAGAAACCTCTTCCCTTTCCCCCAACCTCTGATCATCCCAGTCTATAGACGTGACACCAACAAAAAAATGGGGAACATGAGAATCTAACACACAAGAAGCAGCATCATTTTTTTTCACCTCTTCAGACAGAATTGGAGGAAAGAAGGGAAACACAACAACAAGAGATCAGCTTAACTTGCAACAATGGAGTATGTCACATTTCAGGAGTGAAATGCCAGAGCAATTTATATAGGACAAACACAGAGAAATCTTAACCACTACTTAGGACCCTCTTAAAAAACTGTCTTCTGGGGATCATCTAGGCTTACTGTATCTTGCTGCAGCAGCACAGCTCAGACTGTAACACTGCCTCTTTCACCTCACATTTTAAGGCCCCCAGATATTGCCACCTTGACATCTAGCAAGTGCATTTCCTGTGCCTGTCATTCTAATCTGTGAAAATCTATACTACCGTGGGCTTTTTCAGAAGAAAAAGGCTGAGGCTTTTTTATGGCTTGACTGTGTGGGTGGCCCTGCCTACAATTTGGGCCATGCTGCACAAAAATCCACGTACAAACAGGAAGACTTTTTTCTGACAGCTTAAATCTGAACAGGCAAAGGTTAGAGATACAGAACTTTAGCAGACACACAGCTACAAATTACATGACTGCTTCCTTTCTTGCCTTGCCTCTGACATACATTCCTGTACCAGACGGAGGGATCTCCACCTATGAAATGCCACCTGAAACACCACTTTCCAGTCTAGTTTGGGAGGGGAGGAAAAAAAAAGAAAAGCCATCTTACTATCCATTAAATAAACTAACTGAAAACAACTGTGCAGCATTTGGATAGCAACAGTAAGAAAAATTGGAGACTAAATCACCAGGCAGCAGCTTCACTTGCCTTACCAAACAGACAACATGCAATAGAGCAGTACAGAACATACCAGCGTCCAGAATTTTCTGTCATTACACAAAGAATAGGAAAAGAACTGATGCTTTCAAACTCCTTGGGACAGGGGATGTGTCCCTTTTTCACTTCCCAGCCACATGGTTGTGAATTTAGATTCAAATGCTAAACCAGAACTGTCAATTCAAAGGCCTTGGCTTATCTCATCAGTTATGAGTGAACTGCTGTTGCTACTATTCACATTCCCAGCACAACCTGCTCTCTTGAGTCTCCTCTTTCAGTGGAAGGAGCTGCTCTTGTCAGCTGGGAATCCTTCCTACTGTTTTGGGAAGGCCTACATGGGAAGCACAGCTTATCTTGTGTCAAGCCACTTTAGCTATAGACAAGCTAGGCCCAAGGACCTCCTTGCACTTAACCCTCTTCAGTTCAGCTTGACTGCTGGTTCACCCTTCTATTTATTCTATAAATAACCTGCAGTAAATCCACACTACAGGACTCGAGGGCCCTTGGGTAAAGAGGCAGACTTGTCCCTGGGTCACACGGAGATGGCTGACTCCACCTGAAGAGCCACAGGCGAGGCAGAAACCCTCCTCCAGAGCAGCCCACGACCGGACTCTCGGCTCTCAGGCCCACCAGCAAGTGCAAGAGGAGACTATCAACTACACTCGAGCTCCGAAGCAGCCCAGGTCTCGAGACCTGGGCCGGGATCTACAACCTAGTCTGGGGGTGTGAAGGAGAAAGGGGAGGGCGACCGCACCCGTGCCGTCCTGGCTGGAAGCCTCCTCAGCCTGGTCCCGGGAACACCCCGGTCCCGGGAACACGCCGGGCGGGCTGGCGGGGCCGCAGCGAGGCATGACTCATGGCTTTTGTTCGCTCCCTGGCTGGCAGCAGAGCGCTGGGGCCCCGCCGCCGGAGGGCAGGGGGAGGCAGGAG